TGGGCGCGACCCCTCTCTCCTCCTCTCCCCCCAGGTGCTGGCGAGGGAAGACGAGAGCACCATTTTCACCCCCCTTCCTCCATTCCAGTCCATCACAACAAGTCATGTACTAATTGCTTTTTTGTGTAAGTTGGCTGTATGATTATTGATATCTAGATAAGCCCTAATTTGTGATGGACATAGAAATGCATATGCCACTGTAATAGAGCCGTACCACTAGTAATTTTTTTTACACCTCTGAGTCAGTTTTGATTCATGGCACCTGCCTGGACAAATCCCTGCAGTTTTCTTGTCAAGATTTCCAGAAGTGATTTGCCATTACCTTTTTCTTCCTTGGGCTGAGAGAGAGGGACTGGCCCAAAGGGCTTCCTGCCTAAGTGGAGGACTAACTCATAGTCTCCTGGTTTCTACAGTTATGTTCCCACTTCATGGTGTCTGTCACATGATGTATGGACCTGAGAAGGCAGGACTGAGATGAATTCACATTTTAGCAAAATCAAGAAAGTTGAGGTTCAAGCTTTGGTAGAACAATGTATCCAAGCAAGATGCAAATTCTAATAGAGCAAGGTCAAGACCATCAAGGGGTAGATTCATAAAGATGAAGTTTAAGCACATGGTCCAGGAGAGCTTCAAGTAGAACTCCTGCTATAGAGTCACCTTAGCAAGTCCAGATATTGCTTGGCAACAAGCTTATCAAACTTAGCCATCAACAGAGCTGCAGTTCCAGTTAGGCAGTTAGCTCAGTTGTTGGTAAATGAAGCCTTGCAGTCAGCCTGATCTGTACAGCAGTCAGGCCTGTTAAGATAACTGAACTGCATATGGCTTTCTCAAAACAGTTTATCTTGAAAACATGGGCTTCACAGGATGGATTATCCAGGACATGGTAACACCTGGGATAAACTTCTGGAGCAAATAGCTTTCTTGTAGTGATACTTCCTCAACATCTATTCTTTAGTCTTCTGAAGATACCTATCTCTTACCTTAATTTAACAGTTTCTTTCCTTGTAATGCCAAAATCCACAATTTCTAGTTTAAATATCCTTTCATATTTTCCAAGTCATCTAACTCACCTAACTGGCAGAACTAGTTGTGATCTTATGAGCACCAAAACAAAAATATCATAACATTAAACCAGTTTTTTCCGTCACTGCATTGCTCTCATCCCTACTTAACTTCTCTCATGAAGGAGGCCTTCCAAGAGGATTTTAGGTATGCAGACTATTCATTAAGGGTAGAAATTAATAGGGTTGATTGCTTGATATTAATAACAGCATTGTCCCCTTCACTACTTAAGAATAAGGAACATCTATTTTTTATCTGTTGTTCCTAACAGATTAGCAATAAAATTTAGATTTTGCTGTACAGTATAGTCTTCACTGAAAATCTTAAGACTATTTCTTTTCATAGGTATTTTCAAAAAATACAAGCTTGCCAAGGTTTGGAAGCACAGACTTCCAGCAACAGTACACCAGTTGTGCTCATGAGGCAACCAGTATTACACCCAGGATTCTCCGCAGCACCACCATCTCAACCCTCGTCGTTGCAATCTATGCATCAACATCTTCCACAGCAATGCTACCTTCAGGTGGGCTGGAACAAATATACTTTAATTTAAAGCTGCCCTGAATGTCTTTTAGCTGGAGGGGCAACGTAAAGCTCTTTTCAGTAATAATGTTTCTTCATTATTCTTCATAAATCAGTAAGGGTATTTCTTTCCTAGTGGCAAAAACAGAACTTGGCCGTGACTTACTGGCAGCAGCAGATGTCTGCTAGTACACAGATATGTTTGGGGCATGTAGTTTCTGTACATGCAGCAAAAGCATCCCATCTTTTAAGAACAATCCCTGTAGCAGACATGTTGCATATACTGTTTCATGAGTCATAACATACATCTATTTTATACCATATTGAACCCCAAGTTTTATTTGTATTTATTGCCTATATTTTTTTAAGTTATCTCAGACTGCATCTAGTACCTTCCTTGACCTACTTTTTTTTAGTAAGTTCATTGCATCAGCACAATCTCATTAAAATTAGTTTTTCCCATTAATCTTTAAAACACATCAATCAGTATAGTATTCCAATTACTATATTTTGATGTTTGCATTCAGAAGGATCCCTTCCCTAACATATTAGGTGCTGATTATATTGCAGTCAAAAGGTTTCCTGTCTCCAGATAAAATACAAGACATGTAGAAAAAGGACTCCAAGGACTCCATGTAGAAAAACTCAGCCAATAGCTGTACTGTGATAGTCTTAATGACTGCCAGCCAAGATCCTGAACACACTGCAGTAACTTGGAATATTATCAAGATTTTCTAAAATTTAAGTATCACCAAAATATTAACCAATAGTTCAGACAATTCTGCGTCTGTATGCACTTTAAATATAATGGAGGAACTGAAAGCTACCATAAATAACTCAACCATTCAACCCTCATCTAAGCAAGGTTGTCTTACCACACCAAACAGAATTGAACTGGGATCAAAAATCTTTGATTCTAGCCTACAGTTTGTGAGGAATAATCCAGAAAAGCATCACATACTTACTATTTTACCAATATTCCCTAATATTGCCTTTCTGCTGAAGTTATTCAATTTTGCAGTCTGTCATACAGGAACAATCATTTGGATTGTTTCTTGGTAAAATAGCAGTACTATATCTGCAGAAATGTTACATCATCCAAAGGACATCTGCAAAGGCATTTAAGCAAAACTAGAAAGAGTAGAATTCACAAACTCCCTCTTTCACACATGCGTATGACTTTGTGCATGGTAATATGATCTGTCAGTAGTCCCTGTTTGTTATGTTTATGGAGATAAATTGTTTTCCATCCATTCTTATGATTAGTGTGAGGATTCAAAAACAGAGTCTTAGGTGACTTTTTCCAATTGAAGTTTTCCTTTAATATTAGTGGTACCTCGGTTCATGAACTTAATTCGTTCCATGATTCTGGTCGCAAACCAAATTGGTTGCGAACCGAATCAAATTTTCCCATAAGGTTCAATGTAAATAAGGTTAATCCATTCTGACCC